TACGTTCCCATACTCATACTCATACTCAAAATCGAAAAAAAAATAGTAATTATGGAATTGAATTGAATTGAATAGATAGAAGTTGAAAATAAAAAATTTTCGCGAAAATCGAAAAAGACACACATTTTTAAAAACACGATTTAAACTTTAAAACTCAAAAATCTTGACTTAAAACAAACGCTTTAAATATTTTCAATATTCATATATTTAACATGGTACTATTACTATAAGTTTAATTTTATTTCAATGTTTTTTCATGGATAACTTGACAAAATAAATTTTTGTTGTTATTATTCTGCATTTTTTTTTCTTAAAATTTTTTAATAAAATTTTGTATAGGGTAGTTTTGAGGGGTGGTGAATCCAGTGCCGTGCTTAGATTTTGTTTAAAAAAGTCGCTAATATGAATTCTTAAAAATTTACTCTTAAAAACTGACATAGTAGGCCTGGTATTTTGTAAAAATATGGCGTTTTTTGCCTCAAAAATACAGTTTATCAAGATCTACAGTTTAAAACAAATCCGGTCAAAATCGCACAATAAATAAAGATTTTACAGGGGTGAGTCGCAAACAAATGGGTTGGTGTATATTCTATGGTATAAAATATTTACCAAAATTCATTATTTTTAAAGAAAAATGTCACTTATTATCAAAAATAAGATTAATATTTTTAATGTAGTCCTTCGGAGGGGACTTTAAGCCCGCGGTCCGTTCCTACCCCTAACCCGCACAAGCCATTCAGTTGGCTTATGGGACTTCTTAAGAAGTAAGGGTGGAACTAAAAGAGCACTTTTGTATATAAACTTTTGTATATAAACTTTTGTATATAAACATTATCCCTACAGATGCAGGTGTATGATCAGAAAAGCATGCTTATGCAGCATAAAGCATAAGCTTGCTTTTTTGATCATACACCTTCATTTGTAGGGATAATGTTAAAAATATTAATCTTATTTTTGATAAGTTATGCTTAATACACATACAGTGGGCCAAAATTTCTTAAATGAGCCCCTTTAAAACCGAAGTTGTAATTTTTCGCAGTTTTCTATTCGTTATGCTTACGTAAAAAAGCTCTAAAAGTTTTTTTTTAAAAATTCTGACAAAAAAATTACACAACTTCTGTTAAGATTTTTTCTTTTACAGAAAGTCTCGTAATACTTTTGCGCATCAAAACAAGTAAAACACTTTTTGACAGGCCCGGAAGTTAAATTGGTTTTCTATCTATTCTTTATATAAATAGATTTTATTTATATTTCGTACCGGATCGTTGGAATTTTTTTTTGTCTTTTATACAAGTTTTGACGTATCACGTGTAAAGTTTTGACAAACCATTATGTTTATATTTATGTTTAAACAGATATATCTTGTATGTATACATGTTCAACACTTAAACTGCAACAAAATTATAACTTCGGTTTTAAAGTGACCCATTTGAGAAATTTTGACCCCAGTATAAGAGCTCAAGTATATTAAATGTAAAAATTTTAAAATATCGCATGTTGCATTATTCAATCTAAAATATTATACGTCCAAAAGATAATATAGAGCGAATCGGTTTATGTAAGTGGTATGGTCGTTTGGAAAATATTATGCAGGGAAAATGAATAAGTTCCACATCAAAATGCACATAACAATGAGCTTGAAATATGGACCTCTTTAAAAAGATGAAAGCGTTTATACATAAATAGATTGTAAATAAATTTTAAAATAAACTAAAAGTCCATTATCTAACAGGGTTAAAGCAGATGCGGAAGTGTTAAAAAATGGGTTTCTGTTAAAAAAATTAGATATTTTAACATGAGTTTATAGTTATTTTGTAAAATTTTAACATAATTTTTTGTAGAAAACCAGGGTTTGTAATTTTTTTAACAAAGGAAAATATTTTACGGAAAGTTATTTAAAGGTAATATGCAATTTTGTAATCATTTCGTTAATTTCAAAGGTTACAGATTATTTTATTAATGTTTAACAAATTATTTCATTAAAAAAGTACACGTGATTTCAGGCAGTCAATCAAAACATTTCCCACTGACAATACGCATCAACAAGTTCAACTTCAACTTCAGCGTCTGCAACTTATGTTTCTGCTTACCTTATTCTAATTCGTAACGTGTTCGTAGCAAATGTCCAGACTGTTAAATAATATATTACCAGAAATCTGTTATTATTGTTATTCGGATTCCTTATACCCATTTAACAAGTGTGCGAAGTATTCGAAAAAGGATGCCATAACTAATTTTCATCTGAAATTAGGGGATACAGTGAAGTGGGTTAAAGTTACGAAATACATTAGTAAGTGTTGTGGTTGTACTGATAATTATATTGCACCAAATTTCTTTATAATTTGATGATTTCAGAATGGTGTGTTATTTTTGTGTTCATTTATGTGGGTATGTGTCAATTTTTGTTAATATGGAATATGCTTTTGGGGGAGGTCTACAAACTCACAAAGTGTGTTTATTGCACAAAAAATTGTGTTAAGATGCCTATTCATGCAGAAATATTTTAAAACAATATAGTTTATTAACTTTGCTCTCTCTTTTTATTTTTGAGGTATCTGTGAATATACATGTAAATGGATTTAGGTTAAAGTCTTCCATACATGAACATAATCTTAGAAATAAAAATCATTATCAAATACCTTTTGGTAGGTGTAATATCACGTCAAACGCTCCATCCCGACTTGGTCTTAAAATTTACAACGCACTTCCACCAGATATAAGAAATTTTAAGAATATATGATTTTTTTAAAAGGTATTAAAAGAATTTCTTGTTGACAAATGTTTTTACAGTGTTGGCTATTTATTTACTAAGTAAAGAAAGTTTACCTTATATGTCTTCAGATATATTGTTATTATTGTTGGTATAGGCTATATATTTTTTTTTGTATTTTACCATATCTCACACCCAGTTCAAGACCACCGTAACTCAAAAAACATTGAAATGAGATAATCCAGTTTAAAGTTTTGCAAAGGAATTTATTAAAGAAAGTATGGACGACAATAACGCCCTTTTGCAAGCTCTACATGGTAAATCCAATGGTTTTTAATCAGTATATTTTGTAAACGTCTATATTTTTTAGAAATATTTTATTTCATTATTTTAAAAAATATGTTGTTATTGCACTAAAAATTGGTCTCATATTTTCTAATTATGTTGCATTAATAAGGTTTACGGCATTTTGACTTTTTTCTGTTAAACTAAATAAAACAGATTTTTGGTAATATAATGTATTTTAATTAAACAAAATACCCAAAATAATATTTATTAAAAAATATAAAATCTAATTTCAACTTAAATAAAATATTTTTTTATTAGAATTACATTGGTCTTGCACACAATATTAAGATAAATTAGAATAATTTAAACACAGATATTTTAGTTCAATATAAATAAATAATAAAGTTTTTAAAAATAGGACTTAAGCTATGAAGGTTTTTAAAATCTATTCCAAGGTTGTTAAAGTATTTAAAAAACACAATAACTCAAAACTGTTGATTTTTGAGTTATGGTGTTCTTGAACTGGATGTGCGATATATTTTGTAATATGTATGTATTTATATTGACTTGTTCTATATCCATTCAATCCTGTGAATAAATAAACATTATCCCTAGTAGCAATGGAATTGGACAAGATTCTTTGTCAAGATACTTGGTAAAGCACTTTGTAAAGAATTGGACAATTCTTGACCAAGACTCTTGATCAAAATTCTTTATCCAGACTGGTGCCAGACAAGTCTGTGACCAGAATTCGACCAGATTCTTGGCCAAGAATTTTGACGTATACGTCAAAATTCTTGCCTATACAGGGTGTCCCGAAATTGGGGGGCCAAACTTAAAAAGTGCATTTTTTATAGAAAAATAACACTTGTTTGTTTAATAAACATGTATCAAAAAATGCCCCCTAACGGAGCTACGGCCCCCTGAATAGGAGCCTAAGAGGATCATTTTTTTTAAACTATTCCTAGAGGTTTGAACAGGAAGATATAAATTTTTGGTACTTTGGTAATTTTGACATGCTGAATCTAGATCTTACATCAAAACTGTTAAAATTGAATCATAGGCGTTACATTTGGGGGGGGCAAAGTTACAAAAATAGCCCTAACTTTTTTCTAGGTTAATGTTTTAATTTTTGTTTATGAAATTATGAAAATTTATAGTTTTTTACGAAAAATAGGTACAATAATATTCCAAATTTTATTTTTCTGAATACCAAGTTAAAATTTTACAAATGGTCTTTGGATACAATTTGAAATCTTTTTTTATTTGTCATTTTGCTCCAAAACGAAAAATAAAGGTAGTTTACTCCTGAGAGTATTTCATGTTTTCTTGTTTTTTGACCCCCCTGTATAATATTTTCAAATTTAAAGTATGGCCATAGACTTTTTTAAACAAGCAGAACTTTTTATAAGGAATGACTTTTGGTCGAAAAATGAAAATTTTAGTCCATTTGTCCTCTTGGGCCCTCTATCCATGGACATACTGTATAAAAAAATAAGTTGGTTTTTTATCGTCTCCGCTTCCCCAAAAAAGTGTGCCTCGGTACGGCTCTGATGCTACTGTAGAATGAGAACCTCTACTCTATAGATTTCTGGTCAAATTCTTGTCAAAATTCTGGCCACAGTCTGGCTCAAGTCTTGCCCAATAATCTTGGCCAAGAATCTGGAACACTTCTTGTCCCATTCTTGATAAAAAATCTGTACAAAGTATCTTGACCCATTCTGGCCCAAGTCTTTGACAAAATTGCTACTAGGGATTATTATTATTAATATTTAATACAGTTGGTTGTAAACAACATAAAGTTATACGGACCTGGATTAACATAAAATCTGGTTAATATTTGGTTAAAATTAACAAATAATATTGAACTGTGTATTAGACCTCATCAGTGCGTTATAACAGCAATATACTTGATTCTAACTAATACCACTTATGATTTATTACATGTAATAATTTTATTTCCCACAGTAATACGTTAATTAATCGCTGTGCATTAATTCAGGAGCTTGGTACAGTACAGGACAAATCTGAGCGGTTGCAGCCGATGCATCACTTAAGAGTCCTCCTGCTAATCAAGCATAGTGCAAACCGGTGTCGGTCCGGTGGGGCTGTGGAAAGAGCGTCGACCACCAGCACCAATACCGTCGTCGTAACTGTTGTCGCCTCCTGACCGTTATTTATGCCGGGATTTTATTTATTCCATTTCATCCCGAACACGGGTCCCACTCGTAATTTACATAGCAACCTCGTTTTCGCACTTTGCAGCCCCGTCGCGGATTAAATATCGATTCATTACCGAACCCGAACGCATCAGGAATTGATTTGAACGATGAATTTGCTTTGGTTATTTATTAATTTAAAATAATGCTAATTATATTAAGGGCGATTTTAGCTAAAGAAGAAATAATTACATTTAAAAAAATATAAAACAAAAGCTCTTTTTTAACAATAATTTAACATTTAAATCTAAACGATATAAAATAATTTATACAATCGTTAAAATAAATTACCTTTCTTATAAAATAATACTAAACGTGAAAATTATTTTATTATCTCAATACAAAAATACAAAAGTATTAAATAGTTTCTCAAAGCCAATATTTGAAAAGTTTATTTGAAAATTGTACTGACCTTTTAATTTCGCCGGCAGTAAACTATAACTTAAATTCGGGCACGCACTCCACTGTAAAGTGCTCATAAAACATTTTCTTTACTTTCACTGTCAAAAACTGTCAATTTTCAAGAAATACATTTCGATTTATATCCTTTATAATTGTGTTTATAAAATATAAAAATTTGACATTTGACGGTGACACAGAGATTCCTCTATTGTTTCATAGATGGCGCTCTATACAAATTTTTGATTTAAATCATTTTAAGATAATATTAGGTATTTGTCGTAAAAAAAGTATAGTATGCACCTCGTTTATAAACTTTTCTATACATTCATTAATTTAAGCACTAAATAAAATTCGTGTATAAAATGGCGTTTATCAAACTTGATACATAATATATATTAGTATATATATATATATATAGTATATACTATTAAGTAGATAAATAAATATTTTGTTAATAACTTTAAAACTTAAAACATGCAGTTTTTATAAACTTTTCTTCCTATTTTTTCGACTTCTATCGACTACTACACAGTAAAAAAAATATTTGTTAATTTTAACTAACTATTAACCAGATTTTATGTTAATCCAGGTCCACATAACTTTATGTTAAGTTTACAACCAACAGTAATCTGTTAACAAATTAAATAAGTAGTTTGTAATTATAACAAATATTTTGTAGATTTAATAACAAGATCCTATGTCAATAATTCAACCATAATTCTTGTAATTTTCAACAAGGACCTTTTTGTAAACCCAGTAACAAAATGAAAAGAATTTGGATAAGAAATGTTGCTTTATTAATCAATTTCCTAAACAAAAAAATTAACACATACCTACATAAATGAACACAAAAATAACACCATTCTGAAATCATCAGATTATAAAGAAATTTGGTACAATAAAATTATTAGTGCTACTTACTACTTACTGATGTATTTCGTAACTCTAACCCACTTCACTGTATCCCATAATTTCAGTTGAAAACCAGTGATGGCATCTTTCTTCGAATACTTCGCCCTTCGCACATTTGGTGTAAGGAATCCGAATAACAATAATAACAGATTAATCTGGTAACGAATTAGAATAAAGTAAGTAAAAACATAAGTTGCTGTGGAAAACGTTTTGATTGACTTCCTGAAATCACGTGTACTTTTTCAACGAAATAATTTGTTAAACATTAACAAAATAAATTGTAACCTTTAAAATTAACAAAATGCTTACAAAATGGCATGTTACCTTTACAAAACGTTCGGTAAAATATTTTCCTTTGATAAAATAATTACATAGTTTTCAAAAAAAATTATGTTAAAATTTAACAAAATTGATTTTTATATAAGTGTATGGGTCCTAATTAAACTAAAATTTTTCCGACATGTCGTGACATAAAAAAAATGTTATTGATGAAACAAAATCACATTTTTGTAATTCACCAAAGAAATTCTGACCCTTTAGTATTTTTATTAAATAATTTTTCGTCAAACCATTTCAGTGTTAAAAATGGCGAATGCGCCGGGATTAACTAATAAAAATTTTAATTAAATAAAAATAAAAATCAACTTTAGTTGTATTTATGTTTAACTTAATTATTTACTGAGGTCAATCAGCAATTTTTATCAAAATAAACCCCAATTCCCCTGAACAATTTCCTCTTAACAGACGATCAGCATGCTGTGAACGTAGCGGGTGATTCTTAAATTAATATAAGAGAGAACGCACAAATAGAATTACAGCAGTAAGTAAACAAATCAAATTATTAGCATTACATCCCCCAATCCAGCTTTCAACTACTTCGACAATAAGTCAATTGAAATCAAAATGAACATCCCAAACAACGTTGTCAATTCTACACCAAATTTTTTTATTGTTATCAGTTTATTTGGTATGATAATTTTTATTACATTAAAAAAAATATTCTTTGTTACAAAAAAAAATTTTTTATTTACTGAAAAAGTTGGGTACTCAGCAGCAAAATGTGTTAATATACAGGGTGAGTCATTTAACTTCAAACTTTGAAATATCTCAGTTAGTATGAATTTTACGAAAACATGTTTAAAATAAAAATTAAATGATTCCAGGGAGGAAATCAATCAGTACTAAAATTGGTCCTCATACTCTCCTCCTTATAGGGGGAACAGGGGGTTACTTTTAAATTTCCAATGGAACACCTTATTTTTGCCTAAAACAGTTTTTCATATTTGTAATAGATGACGCTGTAATGAAAAAAAATCAATTTTATTCGATTTTTCTTCTATATACGATTCTCCAATAATTTTTGAATAAAATACTTGGTTTTATTTTTTAAATTTATTTGTTTTTTAAATTTTAATTAAAGCTCAAAATGGCCTTTGACTTTAATGCATTTATTAATTCGCATTTCGTTTTAATATTCTGCTAACACTGCTCTGGGATATTTCCAAATCTCTAGATAATTCTCGTGTGCTTGCATGAGAATTAGCGGCCGTTGCTGCTATTACATTAATTTCATTATTTAGGTACACCTGTGACTGTTGCTCGACGAACTTTTTTTGGGTTGAACACTTCCGTTTGTAGTAAACTGCTTGACTGTACGGTGAAATGAAGTACGTGATCGAATTTTATCCGGAAAACGCTGAGCGTAGATATTAACAGCATCAGATTCCTGCCTGCTTCTCCATAAATCAAAATCATTTCTATTTTTTCTTCCACTGTTAAAAAATCCATTATGAATAACGAAAGGAGGTCTTTTTGTTTGCAAATTAATCTTCGAACTAAATTGATTAAAAAATTCTAAACTAAAGTCTATTCAAATCCAAGCTGGACTAAATGTAAACACAATCCTCCGAATCGACCAATAAGAGCTCACAATCCGAGTCACACCACCAGAATCGACCAATAGAAACGAGTTATCACGCGTCTGGGCGTTTTTGTTTAGTCCAGCTTGGATTTGAATAGACTTTATAAATACCATTTTTGTATAACTCAATTAGGATTAAATTAATTAATTGACAAAATAATGTTTCTTTATTGAAAATAGTACAATAATCCTTTAAATTAAAGGATTTAATGCTGGCAGGTAAAAAGTGACCCTGGTGCGCAATTGATAATTATCACCGAGTGAAATAATGTATAAAACTTAAACCAAAGTAAACTTAAATTTTAGTTAAAAAATCGGGGGGTACTTAAAAAAATCAGATTTAATTAGGATAAATATTACCAAAAAAGTGATATTTTTATAGAAAAATGATTGCAGATTCGTATACAGAAGAAAAATCGAACAAAATTGATTTTTTTTCATTACAGCGCCATCTATTAAAAATACGAAAAAATGATTTAGACAAAATCTACCTATTTTTAGTCGAATGATCCGAATTCGCATTAAAAAATAGGGTGTTCCATTGGAAATTTTAAAGTTACCCCCTGTTCCCCCTATAAAGAGGAAAGTATGAGGACCAATTTTAGTACTGATTGATTTTCCCCCTCGAATCATTTAATTTTTATTTAAAACATTTTTTCGTAAAATGCATATTAGGGTGGGCCTTAAATCCGCTTTTTTAGAATTTCGTTTAGTAATAGCAAAAATTTTGTTCATTATGTTGTAAAAAAAATTTGTGTAAAAGATTAAAATTTTCGATCAACATGCTAGGCTCGCCCAACGCAATTAAAGATCAAAATGTTCAAAAAAATGTTAATACTAAAATCGGGTTTATTTCTGAAACTATCCGTCTGAAGTAATCTTGTGTAAGGACCTTTTTTGAGAGCATAAAATTTCCGATCGAAATAAGTTAGAAATTTTTTTTTTAACATTTTGATCTTTAATTGAACATTTTTTTTACAACATAATGAACAAAATGTTTGCTAAAGAAATTCTAAAAAGCATATTAACTGAGATATTTCAAAGTTTCAAGTTAAATTGCTCACCCTGTAGAACGAACCAGGTAAAAAATAACCTGTAATAAATAATTACTGCTGTGGAGACTTGACAACGTCGGGCGAGCATAGAATGTTTTAATGCGCGGAGATGTTTGAACAAAGAAACATCGCGAAATGGCAGGCGAATTCTCGGCTTGTTGCTTTGATTCAATGCGAAGTTCCCCTAATTTGAATTCAGGGTCTGCTCCTGGCACCACTCAATAATTGTCAGAGACACTGCTCGACGTGAGAATACGCCAGACAGTCTGCTACCTACGGCTAGGTAATCACTTGATGTGAATCGAGACAAAGGCTACCAGTATTTATTTACTTTTGAATTCGGCGTAGTAGTCTATTGCAGCGCTAGGGAAGAGTTTAATCGTTAAAAGGGATTATACAAATAAAACAAAGTTTTTAAATGTAAATGTTAGAAGGGGTGCATGTTTGAATTTTTATTTTAGGTATAGGTACCGGGTGTTTTAATCGATTTTGAAATACTCGTTTTGTTTTATTTTTCTAATTTGTTTTAATATACGAGGTGTGTTCAGAAAATAACGGGAATTGTTAAATTTCGCGGGTTCGGAGGGTTCGGTTGTCATAAAATTTTCTTTATTAAGTTGGTATACATGCCAGCGAAGTATGATAAAAACTTAAGCTGTTT